TTTAGCTCCCACATATATGGATTTCTGATCAATGATAACATACATGTTTTATTTATGTATGTATGTGTGTATGTATGTATATGTACATACATATATGTCATAGATAGAGAGATAGATAGTACATGACCCTTTAAAGGAGCCCTAGGGAGAACTCTTTTGTGAAGCAAAGAATCTTTCCATAATTTAATCTAGTTTGTATGCTTATCTTTTGGAAGATATATACACATATATATGTACATATATCTATATAATAAGGTTGGACACATGTATTTGGTGTACCCATAAGATTGAAGCTATCATCAGACAATATTACTGGTGGATTTCATAGAATAATTTAGCATTTATTTTGTTTAATGACACTTTGTGGAGGCACCATAAAGTACTACCATTAAACTGATGGTTGCAAATAACTAAGTCCTTATTTGCTACTGAGAGAGGTGGTAGCAGTAATCTTACAAATGATGACCTTTATTTCCACTGCTAGAGTGGCATCTCCAAAGGGAGTTCAGCTAAGAGTTGGGAAGCCCTAAGATCAAAGTCTGCCATTAGAACTTATTTATAATTAGCCTTGGCAAGTCAACAAACCTTGCTGAGCCTCAGTTTCCCCTTCAGCAACATGGGGATAATAATAACAACTGTATTTCCTGTTTAACAGAGTTGTTGTGAGGCTCAATTGAGATAGCATAGGTAAAATGCATTGTGAATTTTAAGTGTCATCTATAATTAGTCATAATTTTCCTTTAGATAAATTGCGGTACAACATATCAGTAGTGAACAACTGTGACAACAGTTTGTGAGAGAGATGTTAGTATAGGAATTACAGACCACCATCTTTCTGGTCAAGTTTATGTTCCGTATTACTTTCCTCACTCTTCTTCTCCCAGGCACATTGTATTCCCAAAGGGCATTTGATTACTTTTCCTGCTTATGATTCTTGGGGTAATCCTGAGGGCTTGTGACTTCTCTAGTACCATAGCTTATGAGCTTCCACCAATAGATGATTATCCAGTTGATATAAACGAATCAATAATCTATAAACCGTTTATTAAGCACCTTCTGTATGCCAGGCACTGTGTTAAGTGCTGGTGATACAAAAAGAGACAAAAGAATGCCTGCCCTCAAGGAGCTTACAATTTAATTAGTGAGACAATATATATATAATTATGAATAAATATATATAAATAAATATATACAAAGCAAGCTATATACAGGATATGCAGGAAATAATTAACTGAGGAGAGGTACTAGCATTAAGAGTTGAGGAAGGCTTCCTGTAGAATGTGGGATTTTATTTGGGACTTAAAGGAAGCCAGAGAGATCAGTAGTTGGAGCAAAGGACAAGGAGTGTTCCAGGCACGTGGGATAGCCAGAGAAAATGCCAGTTAGCCGGTATAAGGAATTTTTATTAACAGTGTTTACCAGGGTGGCATGGTAAGACTAATTGATGCAGAATATTCTCCCTAAGAGTTTGAGGCACACCCAACTAATAGTACATATAGAGTCCAGACAAAAGTGGTCTGTAATGGAGAGCACATATGGCAAAAGGATTATTCATAGCTCTTAGCTGGAGAAGTCTTTTTCTCCCGTTGTGGGGTCCACATGAATTTTCCCTTAGGTTAGAGGTTCTCTGCTAGGCTCCAATCCCTACGTTTTCTGAGTAGCATTATATTATTTAATCCAAACTAAGACAGAGAGAGAGAGAGAGAGAGAGAGAGAGAGAGAGAGAGAGAGAGAAACCAAGGAAAAGCTAAGTCTAAAAGGCTGAGCTTCACCTTCCTTCCTCTTCCCTAAAGTGTGGTAGACCTCAAAGCCAACCTCCTGAGACAGACAGAGAGAGGCATCTCCCTTGCCTTTTCTGAAACAACAGAGCAGTACTCTAGCCAAAGACTGCATGTAAGCTTGAAGGTAAAGGTAGTAGAGACCTCAGTTGCCCTGTGAGGAACAAACCTGACCGAGTATCAGTGTCCTATCTTGCACATATTCCAGGCTAAGAGGAATTCTGGGCCAGGACATTACCAGAAATTAGAAGACCTCAAAACCTTGCAGTAATGGAGGCATGAATTGCCTTGACCATCTGTGCTCCCTAGGACTGTGCCTCCCAAGTATTGTCCCTCTAAGTTTTTGTTCACCATTCCCACTGATTCTATGTGTATTTCTGAAAGAGTGTGGTCTATGAAGGGAGGTCATAGCCACTATTGTTTTATATTATCTTAGTAAATGTGTTTGCTTTGAATTAATTCTGTCTCCTGGCTAACTATTAAAGATGAATTCAGGGTGAATTCATGGTGAGGGGTCATGCCCTATAATGTTATGAGTGCAGACACAAGGTGTACTTTGGAATCTGAGATATCAGCTACACTCTAAGCAAACCCATCCTCATGTGCCAGTTTGAGAAGTAGCTCTGAGAGACACCATTGTAAAGACAAGATAGCATCTGTATGGAGACAGCCTGCTTCTGGCCTTGTAACCCCATTTCTATGATGAAGTTTTGAGAGCCATGCTAGGCCTTGGGGTTTGTGAGGCAGGAAAAGGTGGGGGGATGGCCGAGGAAAAGTGGACATCTGGCTATCAGACCTGATCAGCAAGGGAATGAATTAGTTTCTAAATCTAGACTGCCCATGGCTGCTTTTGAAGAGACTAAGATACCCCAGACTCTAAATCTCACAAACTGGACATTGACTGTATTGGAGGCCAGGAGTGAACGGTAAACAGTGTTGGGAAATGTACAAATTGTAGGGGCGATCAAGAGATGGAGAGTTGGGTATGAGTGCAATGTGCTCCTGGAACTCCTGGATTTGGCTATGTCTATGAACTGGTTAAACAGGGCAGCTAGGTGGTGTGTGGATAGAGCCCAGACCTGGCAAGCTATGGTCCATGGGATCATGGAGAGTCAGACACAACTGAATGACTAAACAACCAGCACCACCACAACAAATGAACTAGTTGAAGGCTACAGTCACTTGAAACTTCGTGGGTCTGGAAGAAGCTAAGGGAATGCAAACTATATGGGAGTTGTTTTAGTGTACTTGATTTCATTTCTTTTCTTTTTCGGATATGAATAAAAAAGAAAACTCCATATGTCAAATTGTGTTTGCATGCTCTTCTCTATTAAGTTAGTTTAGTGTGATTGAATGAAAATGAAACACGAAAGAAAATATTTAGATTTTTTTTTCTCCGTGGGTGGAGGAACCATAAATAGCTCATTAGATAATACATGGATTAATAAGAGAAGGGCTACCACTTATGGAGGGGTGGAGCTAGGGGACAGAGGTAGAGAGCTTGAGGAGAGAACTTGATATTCTCCTGTTTAATAAATACATATACATTCCTATTAAACATATTTTCACATTAGAGATGTTGTAAGGAAGAATTAGAACCAATAGGAGAAACCACAAGAAAGAGAAAATAATACAAAACAGAAGAAAAAAATATCAAATAGCATGCTTCGATCTGCATTCAAACTCCATAGTTCTCTCTTTGGATGTGGATAGCATTTTCCATCATGAAACCTTTGGAGATATCTTAGGTCCTTGCATTGCTGAGAAAGGCTAAGTCTATCATTGTTTAGTAACAACATGGTTGTTACTATGTACAACATTCTCCTGGTTTTGCTCACCTCACTCAGCATCAGTTTGTATAAGCCTTTCCAGGTTTTTCTGAAATCTGCCTGTTCATCATTTCTTATAGCACAATAGTATTCTATTACATTCATATACCACAACTCATTCAGCCATTCCCCAGTTGATGGGTATCCTCTCAATTTCTAATTATTTGCCACCACAAAAAGACCTGCTATGAATATTTTTGTACATGTGGGTTAGGGTACCTGTTTCTCCACAGTCTCTCCATCATTTATCATTTTCCTTCTCTTTCAGTCAATTTTGACAATCTAATGAGTGTGAGGTTGCTCATCTCAGAGTTGCTTTAATTGCATTTTTCTAAATATTAATGTTTTGGAACATTTTTTATTTTGGCTATTGACAGCTTGAATTTCTTCCTTATAAAACTGCCTCTATTTTATACTACATTGTAATACCAGTTGTGAATTGGTGAGCCGGTTTCAAGTTGTTGAGTAGGACTAAGAAAATGACCAGTAGTGCCTCTTAATAGTGAAATATAGTTGAGGAAACTAAGATTCAAAGGGGTTGATTAACTAAGTCTTGGGTCATACAGATACTAGGTAGTAGAATAGGACTTTAAACCGTGGTATTTTGGTATTAATTTCAGGGCTCAAGCATTTGGATTTTCTTCTCATTTTGTTCATTTCATTTGTTGTTTTCTATTTATTTTGTGTATGTTTTTAAAAAACTTTTTTTTTCTGGCTAAGCAGTGGGTTTAAGTGACTTGCCCAGAGTTGCACAGCTAGTAAGTATCTTGCATGTGGTTTTGATTGGGGAAAAATAATTTTTTTATAAAAAAGAAAATAGAGTAATTAATGGAGAAAAGATTGTCCAGTACAAGGGAGTGGTTAACAGAATCAAATGAAGTTGAGACCTCAAAGATGATAACTGAAAAAAAAGTATTGTTTTTAGTGATTAACTTGTCATCAGTGACATTAGACAGAGCAGTTTCAGTAGATTCGCAACAGTGGAAATCAGACTGCAAAAAAGTTCATGAAAGAGTGGATGGAGAGGAAATGAAGACACCAAAAGTAGATAATTTTTTCAAGAAGTTTAGTAGTGAAGAGGAAGGAGATGGGTTGGTAGTTTCTTTGGTTAGAGAGTCAAGAGAAGGGTTTTGTGGGAGGTGGGTAGGGAGGACTTGGAGGTTTTGATCACGTTTCTAGGCATATGAGAAGAAGCCAGTGGAGAGATTAAATTGGAAATGCATAAGGGATAAGGGATGTCTGCTCAAGTTAGAAAGAAGAGATCAGAATCAAGGGTCCAGTCTTAGTGGACTGGATTAGCCTTAGTGAAATATAGAGATGTTTGAGCAGACAAAAAGAGGAGAGAATAGATAATGACCCAGACAACTTCCAAGGAATGAAGGAAGGGAGCTGAGGGAAATTATGTTGGATAACCTCAATTCTCTCAATGAAAGGGAAGATTAAATCATCTGCTGTAAGTATGGGGGTGTGGTGTGGTTGTGGGTTTAAAAAGTAAGGGAAAAGTTTGAAATTTGAAATGGGGAATTACAAAGGGATGCAATATAACTGTGGAAAAGAATGGTCATAATAACCAGAAGCCAGCAGAGTGCATACTATGAATTTATAGTGAGTGAAATAAATTTGATTTTATAACTCTTTCTAGTGATGCTCTGTAGACTTTAAGTAGAAGAAGATTAGCCATCAGGTGGCTCCAGCTGATGGGAACTAGGTTGCTGAAAGGTCTCAAAAAGATTTTATACGTGTATTGGTCTAAGAAACCGGGCGTGTTTAGCCTGGAGAAGAGAAGACTTAGGGAAACACTGATAGTCATGTTCAAGTATTTAAAGAGCTCTTACATGGAAGAGGAATAGACTTCTTCTGCATGATTCCAGAGGCCACAATTAGAAACAATGGCTGGAAATTTCAATGTAGGTTTGATGTAAGGAAAAAAACACTTAACATTTAGAGTTATCTAAAAGGAGAATAGACTGCCTCAGAAATTCATAGGATCACAAATTTAGAGTAGGAAAAGGCCTAAAAGGCCTTATAATTTGACTTCGTTAATTTTTTTTATTATAAACTTAGGGAACATCAACAAACGAACATTTCAATATACAGAGAACGAAAGACTATATATGTGATTTTGTGGACTTCTTTTATATAGACATGGCTGCTTTTTAAAGTACATATTAAATTTAACACCATAATTATAAGACCGTGCTGCTTCATGTTCCTTACTGAACTATCTTCTACTTTTTTTTTTAAGATTCACTGCCATTCTTTTCTTCTTTTTGTGGGGCATGTCTGTTCATTGCTCCACTGTCCATTGAAAATAGAAATCCTCTCCTGATTGAACATATGATCATAGTCAGGCAAAATAAATCAATACTTAACAAGCTGGAAAATGTGACTCATTCTGCATTTCTAGTCCATCACCTCTCTGTCAACAGGAGACAGGCATGTTCATCATTAATATTTTGATTGGTCGCTGCATTGATTAGAATTCTGATATCTTTCAAAGCTAGTTTCCCTTATTATACTACTGTGGTCATTGGGTAAATTATTTTCTCAATACTAATCAATTTTGTGGTTATTGTTTAGCCATATCCAACTGTACATGACCCCATGGACTCTTGGAAAGGAATACTAGAATGGTGTGTCATTTCCTTGTCCAGTGTGTCTCTCTTTTACAGATGAGGAATTGGGACAAATAAGGATTAAGTGACTTGCCCAGCGGCACACAACTGGTAAATGTCTGAGTCTGGATCTAAACTCAGATCTTTCTGACTCCAGGTCTAGTGCCTTATCTATTGTACCACCTAGCTGCCAATTTACACTTCAATCATATAAGTCTCCCCAAATTTCTCTGAAGCTGCCATATTTGTCACTTTTTATAGGGCAATAGCATTCCATCCTACCCACTTTGCTCCTACTTCTGCATAATTATTTTATTATAGATATTTTCCCCTGCTTCTTTCACCTTTTTGGGGGTGAGGTGGGTGGGAGAATTCCTAGCACTAGGGTCAAAGGGTATGTATAGTGTAGTGATTCTTTAAGCATAGTTAAAATAATGTGTTTCCAAATTTTTTGGACCAATACATAGCTCCACCAACAAGTGTGTCTGTCCTTCCATAGACCCTCTGATAATTGTAATTTTCTTCTTTTTTGCATATTTGTCAAGATTATTAGTTTGAAATTGAAGCTTGGAGTTGTTTTAATTTGAAGTTCTCACATTAGTGATTTAGAGAATTTTCTTATTAAACATATTTTCACATTAGTTATGTTGTAAAGAAGAATTAGAATGAATGGGAGGAACCACAAAAAATAAGAAACAAAATACACACACACACACACACACACACACACACACACACTTTTACAAAGTAACCCTTAAGTAAAGAGAGAAAACGAGAGAGCAAATAGTTTGGTCAAGCTCCGTTCAGATTCCATAGTTCTTTCCCTGGATGTGTATAGCATTTTCCAATCATGAGTCTTTTGGAGTTGTCTTAGATCCTTGCATTGCTGAAAATAGCCAAGTCAATCACAGTCAATCATTACACAATGTGGCTGTTACTGTATATAATGTTCTCTTGGTTTTGCTCATTCCACTCAGCATCAGTTCATACATGTCTTTCCAGGTTTTTCTGAAGTCTGCCTGCTCATCATTTCACATAGCGCAATAGTGTTCTATTACATTCACATACCACAACTTTTTCAGTCATTCCCCAAATGATGGGTATCCCCTCAGTTTCCAATTCTTTGCCACCACAAAAAGAGCTGCTATAAATATGTTTGTACATATGGGTCTTTCCCCCTATTTTTTTATGATCTCTTTGGAATACAGCCCTAGAAGTGGTATTGCTGGGTCAAAGGGGCATGTACATTTTTATAGCTTTTTGGGCATAGTTCCAAATTGCTCTCCAGGATGGTTGGATCAGTTCATAACTCCACCAACAATGCATCAGTGTTCCAATTTTTCCACATCTTCTCCAACATTTATCATTTTCCTGCTTTGTCATGTTAGTCAATCTGATAAGAGTTGTTTGATTTGCATTTCTCTAATCAATAGTGACTTAGAGTATTTTTTCATATGATTATAGATAGCTTTAATTTCTCTTTTTTTTTCTTTTAGGCAATTGGGGTTAAGTGACTTGCCCAGGGTCACACAGCTAGGAAATGTCAAGTGTTTGGTCTGAGGCCGGATTTGAACTCAGGTCCTCCTGACTTCAGGGCCGGTGCTCTATCCACTGCACCACCTAGCTGCCCCTGCTTTAGTTTCTCTATCTGAAAACTGTCTATTCATATCCTTTGACCATTTATCAATTGGGGAATGACTTGTATTCTTAAAAATTTGATTCAGTTTTCTATATATTTTAGATATGGTTGTAAACATATCTTTATGTTTTTCACAGACAGTGGTTGTACAATTTCTTTCTACCAGATAGTTTTGATAAGCATTGCTTTATATTATAGTTTGGGATCTGGTACTACTATTTATTCCTACTTTTATTCCTATTTTTAAAATTATTTATTTGAGATTTTTGACCTTGTAGTTCTCTAAATAAGTTTTGCTACTTTTTCTCGGTTTTGCAAAGTAACCATTAAGTAATATGATTGATATGGTCCTAAACCATATGTCAATTAGAAAGTATTGACATCTTTGTTATAATAGTATAGTCCAACCATGAATGGTTAATGTCTCTCCAATTAAAGATTTCATTTCTATAAGTGTTTTGTAGTTGTGTTCATGTAAGTTCTGAGTATGTCTTGGTTGGTGCCCTCCCAAAACCAGCCAAGGTAGGAAATGAAGCAAGTCAAAGATCTCATGTAATTAGTAGTGAGATCAGCCCCATGAGTAGTCATCCTCCAACTTGGATGAAATGGGGAGATTCAGTCTTAAAAAAAAAAAAGACATTCTCTAAGTTACCTTCCAACTATGAGATTCTGTGAGTCTATGATCCTTTGATTTCTGGCCTCCCTACATCAAAAGGCTGTAGTGGTAGTCCAAGTGTCTTTTGAGAGAATTAGTCATGAGGAAAGACTGATGAGTGGTTGAGGGAAGGGGAAACATTCAAATTTTTTCTCAGAGGCCTTAATTTGAAATTGATTCCTATGGGCTTGAAAGTAAAGAAAGGGTATGTGCCTTAAGGAATGGTGAATTTAAGAACCCCATAGTTAATTAAAAGAAAAAAATACACATTTATTAAACCCATACTATGTACCCTTGTACACTAGGCTAGGCACTGAGGATCCAAAAGTGACAATAAAAATGGTGTAAGGACCTTAAATACCTCCCTCACCCCATTTCCCCTGTATCTCCCCAACCAATTGAATTAGCTGGTAGGACCAGAAAGAGAAAGATTTCTTCCTAATTCCAAGTGCGAAAGTGGGATCTTATAAAGTGAAAACCCTGGTTTTGGAATCTCTTGTAACTTTTCCTAGGTTTGATGTGGACTGTTTAGGCTCAATTATTAAGCAAACATTTATTAAACACCTTCTATGTGGCAGGCACTGTGCTAAGTGCTTGGGAAACAAAGATTAAAGGCAAAAGAGTCTTGGCTCTCAAAGAACTCCCAGTCTAATGGGGGAGACAACATACTAACATCTTTGTACAAGTGGGATATATACTGTACAGGGAAACTGGGGATCATCTCAAATGGAAGGCTTTAAGGAGGAATAGCAAAGGCTTCCTGCAGACAGTGCAGCTTTAGCTGAGACTTGAAGGAAGCCAGGACATCCAGGAGGCAAAGGTGAGGAAGAGGAGCATTCCAGGCATGGGGGACAGCCAGTGAAAATACAAGGAATCAGGGGATGGAGCACCTTGTGGAGAACAGCAAGGTATTCTTTCAAGTCTTCATGGCTTTCTTTCCATTAGTCCTTCACCTTTCCAAGGAAAATGATTTTGTTCACTCTTCCATCTCTCTCTTATCTAAACTCAGAGGCTCAGACAAAATTCAATTATGACAATTAAAAATGGTCTGAGGAGCTTAAATATTTCCAACTCTACATCTGCTGTGTGTCTCTATTGCATTCTTTCTGCAGTTCACACTCAAGAAATGTTTCAAGATTAATCTCTCCTTTGCAAAAGCACTGAAGTACTTTTTTTAAAAAAGAAGGGTTTTTGTTTGTTTTTTTTCCCTGGGGGTGGACTTAGTGGAAGGGAGTTGTGGTATACAGATTAGTTTCCAGGTACTGTCTCTTTCCATCAGTACATCACTAAAGCTTGATTGATTAAATGGGTCTAGGCATTCACAGAGCCCTCTCTGAGTGTTCTCCTCTGGGCTGACTTTACAAAACATTACTTAGCAATTTCTCAAGTCTTTCACATTTCCACATTTTTGTTTTGTCATCAGAATTGTAATCGTCATGTACTTCTGTTATCAGATCTCTGCATTTCAACACCAATAACTTTGCAAATACTTTTAAACCAATTTGACACTCGTCTTTTCAAGTTTGCTGTGTGATTAAGAAAGT